TAAGGTGAGGGTCAGTGCAAATGTGAGTCTCCGGTGACCCTGCCCCACCATTCACTGGTGTGCATGGCAGTGATGTACTGGGTGATCAGTAGGCTTGAAGTGATGCTTCATTCAGACTTCTCCAAACTAAGTGATTATCAAACTGACATGGAAGACTTAAAAATCTTTTTTTCTGGGATAATATTGAGGGTTTAAATGTTGTTGGCAACACTGATAAAATGGCCTCTACCACAGATTGCAATTTAATTGAAGTTTTTTCACCAGCAAAGTGAAGACCTCAGATCCCTAAATCAATTATAACCATAATTCAATATGAATCACTAAAATTGTGATTTCCATGGAAGAGGACGCACAAAAATGTGTTATACTGCAATAATAATCGAGATTCAAAATCAGAACAGCAACAAACAATTTGTCAGGAACAGGGTACACAATACAAGCAAGGCAAAGGTATCCATAGCAACTAAGCAATCACAAATCTGATTATTCAGCTATGTTGGAGCAGTTTGTCCATGGTTTTATACAAATATATTTATTATTCAGCTATGTTGGAGCAGTTTGTCCATGGTTTTATACAAATATATTTCAGTTTCTTCATGTGATCATTAAAGCCGTTAAAGGATCTGAGGTCTTCAAAAATTAAATTTTTCAATCACAAATCCATGGAAAAGATGACAAAATATTTATCTTTGCATTTATAAAATCTTGAAATTTATCAAATGACAAGTTACACCAAAATTGACAGTGAATCAAATATATATGCCAGAAAGATGACTATAATACAAAATGTACAAAGCAGTGACCTGAGCAAATAAAAACTTAGCAGTATAAAAGTACACAATATTAATGATCTAGAGGTGAAAGGTGACTCATTGAACATCAAACCTCAGAAATACAAAATGTACTTGTGATAAGTCAAAAGAGGACGTTCTGCCTCTATTAACCACTGCTTGAAGCTCAGAAACAAACTAAATTAAGGAAAAGAATCCAGTTTCTCTTATATAACAGTGCACTCGTTGTAGAAGTTCTGATATTTTCACTTAATAGAACAGTAAAATTTCCTATATTTGGTGAATGATTACACAGCCAAATATAGTTGTTAACATTATTAYAGCGGCCCTTGCACTTGTCGAAAGTTTCTTTGCTGGTGAAAAAACTATCTTAGGCTAACATTAAAATAAAACATAAATCTTTCTGTATTTGCCACCATTTCTTAGGACACTAAATATTAAATAAATGTTTGAAGAATGTTTGCAATTC